TATCCTTCATACAAAACCAATTTTCAAAGCAGAAAAAAAAGAAATCGGGTACTATGTTAGTTGCTCAGGCCCTAATGCTGTAGCACTACCTCAGCCATGATTTTCATTTAACTCTGCCCTAATGGAGTATCTTTCAAATTTATTTCATGTTAGTTTAAGAGCACTTACTTGCTCACTGTTATCGCAGGTAAAGCATGCCTTGTAACAGAAATAAATGTCATTTCTGAGGTACAAATAGAAAACTAACGTGGCCTCTAAAAGACAAGGCATGGAAATTAATTCATACTACCCACTGAATTCAAGGCGGAGGATGCAAAGACAGACACAGCTCATCACTGAGGATCACACAAGTTCTACTAAGACCCTTTTGCAGTACTCCCCACTCTTCGCCCTTGATAAATGACTTCAGGTTTTACACAATCTTACAGATCTCTACTAAATGTCCATTTCTTTAAAAGAAGCTATTAATGAGCTTTATATTAATGGTTTTTACCTTACTTTTTTGAAGCACACTGGAGTGCCGAAAGAGCAATGTTACTGTTGCAGAAAATTCCTAAGATTTCGAGACCTGGTGTTCATAATGCACTCAGTTAAGTGGTTTCATAAATGCAGATTATACTTTGGAAAGCTTTAATATATTTATTTATTGCTTAGGGGAAAAAAGAAGTGTTTTAAGTGATCTGAGTAGCTGTCATGCTGTGTTATGATGCAGATTACAACAGCCTCTCCTGTAATGTAAATGATGTCCATCTTCAGTCAGACCAAAAATCTCTCTGAGACCAGCATCTGAAAGTTCAACCAAAACTATGTACTAAGAGAACGTGCAAAAAGAAAACGATGTTTGGTGAACACAGACATCAAATGGGGTCCAGGGTTTGGATTGGAAATTTTTCTCCAGTTGACTTTGTCAAAAGACTTAGCCAATTTCAGTAGACCAAGGATGGGATTGGGAATGGCTTTATTCCCACTGCCAACAACATTTCTGCTCTGCTTATCTTTTGTACAGCAAGCTTGGAAAAAAAAAAAAAAAGACTAATAACTGAGAATATCTCAGTGGAAAGAGAATCCCCTGTTTTTTTTTCTTATGAAATATTCCCTAGAGCAAGCCAACATTCTTCAGTAACAGCTGCTAGTAACTCTTTATATTCCAAAAACTCTACAGATAAAAGGAAGTTGTTTATTGTTTAGCATTCTGTCAAGAGTACAAGGAATAACTTTTCTTTAAAAAACATGGGAAAAAAAAATAGCAATAAGAAACAGTCACTAGAATTGAATATGTTCAGCTGCCTGCAGAGACTAGCACTAAACTAGTGAGGATGACTGCTTTCTATTTGGTGGGACAGAGCAAGAACAGCCAACAAGTCAGAAAAAAACAAAATCTCAAGGTACAGTAGGATCCATCCTGCTCTCTGTCAAAATAGATACACAGCAACACAAATGAGAGATGAATGAAAACTGGGCAGTCAGGCAAGTTTCCTGGGCTGCTCTGGATTCTAGTGCGAGTGATTGGAGTACTTGAATCCTGTGTATCACAAGCTGCTCTTGTGGTAGCAGCTCTAGATGGTCCTGACTTTATAAAAGGCTTTATGAGACATTTCAGGTAAGAGTGAGAGCTCACAAGTGGCCTCATCCCTACCCAATTTTGCCTGGGCTTCCTCTGAGTGTGCATTGCCTAAGGACCATGATTTGAAAGGCTCCTGGGAACATGTCTCTATTTTCCCAGCTTCTCTCTTTCCACTTATTTGCCATGCTGAGTTCTCCTCTGATTTGAGCTTACGTTCAGGAAGAGCGAGGCCAGGCTTGCAGGCATGGGAAATGACTGTGGGCACACATAGGCATCTTTCCCAAAGCCTTCCTATGACTCTTTCTACTCTAACCTAAGAGGGGAATTCCATCATATACAAGAGGCAGCTTCTGATGTACACTTACAGAAAAGAGACAGCTTCAGAAAAATCTTCAAATCTCATGCTTGTGTTAAGAGTTAGACAAGCCAGGAATTAGAAAGTAAGCATGTAGTATTTATCCAGCACATTCTGCAGCTTCCAGTAATTTGCATCACAGATTTTAAGAACTCAGAACCAATCTTCTCAACTTCTTATTTTATTTCAGTATAAGTGTTCTCTGATCAGGCACCTTTCAATACAGTTTCTTTCAACAAAAGAATTAGTAATTCTATCCAGAAGTTGTTTTTAAATTATTTTGATCCTCGCTTGTTTGACTGACCTGGAATCCCCTGAGATATTACATTTTTATTCTGAAAGGCTTGTACGTATATTGCTTGTGCTTACTGATCACTGGAAAAGCAGTTTTCCTGTGCTCCCTTTAAATGATATTTAACTGTCATAAGAAATCAAAGAGGCATCTATTGTTTACTCATTCTTCCAGTATTTAGTTTGAACTTGGCAATTCAAACCATGATACAGGAAACGACAGCTATGAGCCTGTCTTGTTTATCTTTCTATCGGATTCTTGAAAGACTTAATGCTGCAAAGATACACTTGATATGTGCCTCATACTGAAGACTGGAAGCTCACCAAATAATGAACACGGAAGATACAAACTTTTATTTTTCTACTTCTACAGTAGTCCTGTACTGATGAAATCAGTTCTTATAAGTTTATGTGGAATACACGCTTCCTTACAATCATGGAGACAAACAGGAAGGTCACAAAGAGGGGATGTGCAGTGCTGTTATTGTTGTGCCAGGAGGTACCAACAATGTCTATGGTCACAGGGAGTGGTGGCAGTATCTGCTTATCTTGCAAGATGTAACCCAGAGTGAGCAGCATCAAAGCCATTGGCAGTGCTGACTGTCAGACAGGAAGTGTTATGTACTCAGTCACTGAAGTTACTCACACCTAAAGAATCCTCACAACGTTTCTGGTAAGCTGCTGCTTTGCAAGTGAAATAGGGAAAGCATGGTTCTGAATAAAACTAAGAGAAGGAAGTGCAGGTGCTCTCTATGCAGTCATTTCATTTCACACAAACTTAAGAACGCTGGGCTAATACATTCTGTATGTTACAGCCCAATCAGAAAAGTTTATTATGTTCACTTCTGGTAATTAATATGCTTCAGAAGAGTAAGCTTCCCAATATAAATCATAAGATACAGTCTTTATTTTCAGATTCTCTAGATCGTAGCAAGCCAGTCTTTGTTTAGAAAACATAGTTAATATACAATGGGTGTATCCAGACCACTTCTTGAGCCCCTTTTTCAGAGCAAATATTGATCTCATTGAGTTTCCTGATAATGAAAGAACCAGGCTCCTCAGTATAGCTAGATGCTGATGCTTTCTTCTGAAAGCACGAGGAGAACCAACACGCAAACCACCAGCATTTTAACTGGTTCAGTTTGTCTTCAGTTCAGTATCCACTGAACACGTGAGACAGCATTACCAGCAGGAGAGGAATATGACCCAGTTTCAAACCTGTCAAACAAGGCTTTCTAAGAGGGGAGACCTACTGAAACGCATAAGAAAGCTCAGCATACAAAGCTAAGTTCCCCCCCTGCACAGGGCACTGCATTGCTGTTATCAGTACAGAACAGTGCAGGAGTCAGGGGACTCAGAAGTTAGAGCTTTCCCTTGTATATGTGTGAAACTGAGGGTGTGGAACACTTCCTAGACTATCTGAGGAGTATAAGCAAAGGAGATTGATTCCCCCCTACCTTTTTTGGTCAAATTTAGACACACTTTTTTTTTAACTTTGTACTGCATGTTAAGAAACATGGATTCTTACACATTTGAATCATGTTCAAATGGCAGGTTAAAAACCATCCTTAAGGAACACCTGATCTGCAAGAACTGAACATTAACTGGACAGCAATCAGGAGTTACAAAGAAGTGAAACATGATAAAGCATTTTCTACCTTTTCTTTTTGACCGAGCACATCAAACAGAGAAAGACAGAGAAGGAAATTCCTTTATTTGCATCTGACAGGTTACCTCAGTTTTTAGGACCCCCATTATATCCAGACAGCTGTTCTGCCCCCACCACTGGCCTAATCCTTCACAGCTTACTTTAAGGAAATATCTTGGAAGTCGTGGTTCTCTGCTTTCAGATGTTTTCCATGACATCAGAGATGCAGAATACATTTGAGAACACAGTGTCACACTACTCTGTTAGTTGTTCATTTGAATAATGGCTATAGTCAGTCATCCTAGTGGATATTTAAAAGGAAACTACCTCGCTATATCTGAAGTTAAATGGAGGAAATTACATTACCATTGGGCTACAGTAAGAACATGCATTAACGAGGGCACCAAACCACAGCACAGCTACTATTTATACATAGTATATACAAATATATAAATACATTCGAGAAGGACAAAATGAAAAAAAATCGTCACGTTTCCAGAGGCCAAGCACAGAGCTGGTAGCAGCGCTGTCCCCACGGAACCGTAAGCCTTGCGATTCCAGAGCAAACTGAAAACTGTAACTAAAGCGTCGTTTCAGCAGCTTCCCCACCGACACCAGACGCACACGTGACACCTTTCTTTATTTTCAGAGGCAATTCTCAAGCCGCTCGGCTTGGCAACGCACCGGTACAACGCCAAGGCAATGCTCCCGGTAGATTAACACCTTAGCTCACTCCGGCCCCCTCTCCGACAAAGACAAAAACCAGGGCCCGGCCAAGGCAGCTCGGCGCCGGCGTTCCCCCGCCCTCCTCACTCACTTTTGGTGGCGGCGATGAGGTTTTTCCCATCCTTGAGCAAATCCTTGATAAACTTATTGGTCTTCTCCAGCTCGGCCTCGTGGGCTCGCACCCGCTCCCTGAACCAGGGGCTATCCAGGTAGCAGTCGCTGAACTCCAGAGGCTGCAGCCCCATGGCTGCGCTCCACCTCGCCCCTCCTCGCAGCGATCTCCGCAGCGATCAGCGCGCACCCCGCGCCCGGCTGCACGGCGGCCACAAAGGCAGCAGGGGAGGCGGCCCGCTCCCGGCAGCCCCGCCGCCGGGCCCCGCCCGGCCGAACTGGCGGCCCGCCTCTCAGCGCCGCGCCAGGAGCCGGGTGGGGTGGAGCGAGGCGTGAGCTCCTCGCGGCAGCGCTCCCGGGTCTCGATTCACAACGGAGGCTGTCGGCTGCAGGTGACTGAGCACGCAGTGCACTTCTTCGGGTTTTAAGAGGGAGCACATCGACTCTTAGGGCAAGGAGGCACGAAGCGGGACACGGGCTCTTAGCAGAAACCAGCTGCGGTTTCAGTAAATGCCGGCTGCGTGCTGGTCTGCTGTTAGAGCCAGCTAGTGCCCCTCACCTGTAGGGTCTGACCCTATCCTGCTCACGTACCTGAGTGTGAAATTAGTTGAGGGAGGCAGCTAAAGCCTCACCCTAATGTCTTCTTTTAATAAATACAAAGCCTGTAGAAAGAGCAAGACCTTTGAGAAGGCTGTTCTATGTACCGGTGCTGAGCTGAAGGCAGAGTACGCTCAGCCCCTTCAGCCAAGCGTTCCAGCTGCTACGCTACAGCGTGTGCTCTGACTGCTTTCTAAAATCATTTAACTGATAAGTCACTATGCTACTAAAAAGTGGGCTCAAATGGACATTAAAAACCAACCTTAAATAACAAACAATCCTTATCTCTGTTTGAATTATTGGAGCAGTGTTTGAAGAGCAAATATTTCTATGAACAGATTGTTTACTTTGCCCTGTACTCATCTTCAGGAAGAAAATTAGAATAATGTTTTTCATGCTTGTTTATAGTTACTTCAATTTTCCTGTTATCGTTCCACTGTAATGCTGTAAAGCAATTATGGAGTTGGTTGAATTCAGATTCAACCAAAAAAAAGACAAAAGAATAATCTGTATGTTTACATAAAGCCAATTCACTGTTACATCGGTATTCTATACTGTTCACCCAGCATTGTTATCCTGACAACACACTGTGTTCTCAGCGACTACTGAAAGAGATTGTATTTTGCAAAACCTAACCTACCGGTTCAAATGCAATCTGACCCTGAAATGACCAAAATGTGGGGGTAGAAATAATAACTTATTAAATTAAAGAGACAAAAATGACATGTTTGAGCAAGAAAAGTAGCTACGCCTTCTTTGCTAATTAATCTTGTAATTTTTTATATCAGTATTTTAGGAAATTCTCCTCTTGTCTGCCATTCTCTACTCCATGTCATCAACTTTTGCAGCTTTGCTGTGGGCTCATTTAAAAGGCTAGTGTAGCTTGGATATGTGAAGCTTTAGCAACATCCTGTCTGTATACCATACAATCTTTGCTTGGTTATTTTCTGTTGATGACCATTGCAAGCATGGTTTGATACTTCAAGTTTGTTTATACAACAGGCTTATGCTAGCAAGTTGTCTGGTTTCACTTCACCTTATGTTCTTGCATATAGATACCTCTTGTTCTTAGATATCTTGACTTTCATGTAAGTCAGTGTTCTGATGTGTTTTCCCCCTGCTAGCCATGCTTCTAATCTGCAGTGGCAAGATGGATTACGGGTTAGTAAGCTTAACTCAGTCTTACTGGCATTTTATTACAGACTGTTGCCATCACTACATTACTTGCAACATGCAGCTGCGCTTAGTTGTTGAAAACACTGAAGAAAACATCATTAGCAGCAACATCCTTCCAAGGTATTGTAGTTTTGTCTCCTGCCTACATGCTTTTACCTCAGGAGAAAAATCCTTACGTGGGTTAGAATTTAGTTTCATTTCAGCTCCTGCCTTATTTTTTATTATCTTAGCTTTATGAAACATATTCTGTGGCCATTTTTTTCTCCTCAAGCGTTCCCTTAAAAAAGTACAATATGGGTATGAACTTAGCAAAACCCTGCTTAGCCTTTGAACTGAACTGACTTTTTCCTATGGCAAAGATTTTACACTGCCAGTTTTTGGCAATCTTCACCCATAATGTAACTGCATGAAATATCAATTTATATCAGGTCAAATTAGCACACAGCAGTACTTAATTTATGCTTAGAAATAAGTGCTGTAAAATATACTATCCATCTGGCACTTTCTCTGATCTAAAAATATGGTTTTAGAGGATTATGGAGCTGCTGAGATACTGGCCCATTACAGCATTTGGGAGACTCCCACTGTTACACTTCATTGTCCATGGGTGATAATCAACAGTGCTTCCTGTTTTCTCTTTCCTGCCATGTTCTGCAGGTATTAATGATTTCCCTCTCCCAGTAAGGTCATCTTACAACTGGGAAGCATAATTAAGTTAAATTCAGAGAAGCTTGTTCTTCATCTGCAATCCATTTAAAGTTCATAGTTTTGTTGGTTTTTTTTTTTTTCTTCTCCGTTCAAAATGGAAGGAAGGGCTGAGTGCCTGTTTATACCAGTTGACTTAGATATTACATCCTGCTTTACAGCTCAGCTTAGATATATTTTATTATCCTCTGACGCTAATATTTGCACATCCTCTTGGAATATATTCACCGTAAGCATTTTATCAGTTCTTGTTTTGGGTTTTCTGGCATGTTTGTTCTCTGTGGGAAGCTGGTGGCGGTGTCATTCAGGTTACCTGTTCTCTGTGCTTTCCTTTGGGTCCCTTCACTCTGAAAGTTTGTTGACTCCCCTATTCCTCCCCTGTGATATTGCAGAGCAGTAGTTAAGTTTACTATAGATTATGGTTTTAACTGTCTCTGTGTTTCTTTTAGAGTAACTTTTTTCTCCCTTTGTACTATTTTTCACCTTGTTCAAAATGCTGATTTGGCATTTTTGTATGGTGATTATTTTTTTTCTCCAAAATGAATGCGTCTGCAGCAGCCACAACTGTAAAACCCTGGGTGAGCTGCATTCGTGCTCTTGAGAAGGAAAGCAATAATGAACAGCTTCCAAACGCTTTGTAATTACTGAACAATGGCATAGCCTGTTCTTCTCTCAAAAGTAGGACAAGACTGAATGAACTCTGCCTTTTTTTGGAAGAGAGCTGCACTCCAGGATTAATCCCAAGAGGAGGCAGCCTGCCATTTTCTGTGGTGGAAGAAGATAAGTGGTGTCATAGGCCTGGGAGGAGGCAAGGTGAGGCACTGAGAAGTGGGAACAAAGGTCTGGATTTTGCTCCTCGTGATCTCTGTTGATACGGAGCAGAGTCAAAGGCTGAGGCAACTCAGGTTTGTTTGTGTCTTAAGACAAAGTGGTATGAATTTCCTCCTCAGATGTCATTATGCAGGCTTATCAGCAATGTAATTCAAATTAAATATTACGAACACCACAACTACAGTCCAGTTATAGGCAGTGCCTGCGCAACGTGGTGTTCATATGTTACATCCTGTATCATTTAAGGTGATGGGAGTTCTTACACGTAGAGCGGGTCTGAGCAGCACTGAGCAGCTGGGGACTAGATTGGCAGTGGATTTAGGCCACTTTTAGCAAGCTCTGCGTTCTTATCCCTAATTACCAGTTTTAAACGTTGGATGTGGGTGGCAAAGTAACTTGAGCAATTACAAGCACCTTAATACTGCACATATATGAGTGCATGTGTACTACGTGTATATATATATATGGCAGAGGGAGTGGGACGAGCAGTACGGGAGAAAGAATAAAATTTTAACAACGGTTTTTAACCGAGCCAGCACGTTTCATCTCAACCCGAGGCGGGAGAAGGAGCTGCAGCCCCTGACGGGGCGGACCCTTCCCGCCGCCATCTCAGGAGGCGGCACCGCTCTCGGGGCGCCCGTTGCTACGCAACGGCGCGCGCCGGTCCACGCTCCGCGCCCGTCGCTCCGCGCATGCGCCGCAGACTCGCTCTGCGCCCTAAGATGGCGGCGACCTGTGGTGCGTGAGGTGGGAGTTCGGGAGATCCGTCTCGCGCGGTGCAGGTGATGATTTGAGCTCCCGCACAGCCCGCGGAGAACGGGCTCCCCGGTTTATCTCCGCCCTTTGTGCTCGCGGCGGTCCTGAGCCTCATTCTGCCCTCTCTTCCTTGCTGGGCGGTGTTGCGGCCTATGGGGCTGTGTGGGACTTCCCGCAGGCCTGCTTGGTGTCGCTGGCCCGGGTCCTCGCACCGGTTCTTCAGGCGCCTGGGTGCTCTTGCGTGTTCCTGTGCAACTTATCGGTGTCTGCTTCATAGATAGCTGCTGCTTTCTTAAGCAAATAGACAAGCTGTTGGTGTGATTTTGCGTTCCTGGCAGTCACTTTTTATGTCATGTTTGCTCTCTTCAGCTTTAGGATATACCTGAAAATCCCGGCGGCACTGCTAGGCCCTTGTGTGTAGGTAAGCCTTAAAAATGTAAGTGGTAACTGACACTGTTACAAAAATGTGCATGCTGCTTCTGATAGCAAACGTTTTCTTGAGGAGAGATAATTGTGTTGTTTTGAGCTTGCTGTCTGTGCAGGAGACATGGCTTTATGGGGTTCCTGTTGTTGAAGTGGAAAAGGGTTAGCCTCAAATTTTTTGGCTGACTGAAAGCTCAGTGCGTGAGCTTTTGGCGTGCAGAACTGCTTGGCTAAAGACATGCTAAAATATGCAATGCCAAAATTATTTTTAAAAGCTAAGAAACCTAAGCTGTTTGCGGGACCTCACGTGACACGAAAATGATGCATGCTTAACTTCTGGATAGTGAATGTTCATTTTAAAGTTGATGGAGTTATCAGTGGTATAAAGATAGGAATGTTTTTGAATGCTTAGGATTTGGGAGGAGGGTCTTTAATGCATATGAAAACTTCTATGTTGCTTAGTCTGTGCTCTGTGTAACCTTGTCCTATAGCATGTGTCACTTGTTTGTTTTAGGAAGAGCACTGCTTCCAGCCTTCAGAATGTCCAACTCAAACGCAAAGTTCCGTCATCGCCGAGGTGCTCAGGAAGCTGGCAGGCGGGAGCTCATTTCTAGATCTTTGCAGAGTGCTCAGCATTGCTTGGAGGACCAGGATTATGGAACTGCATATGCTCACTATCTCCTGGTACTAAATCTAGCTCCCGAGCTGAAAACCAGTGTGAAAGTAAGTGCTCTTTGATTTCTTCTTCAGTCTATGTGACATTGTGTGTGCCTTTGGTTCTTTGTCTGTAGCTGATCATCCTATTTGGTCTTGAAAATAAAAGAAGAATACAGTAGTAATTGAGATAGCAACCTGTTTAATGAATTGCGTGTGTCTATGGAAGGAAATTGATATTCTTTTAGTGATATATGTGTCTACTAAGTTTAATAAAAATGGGCTGTGTTAATATTCATTTGTTCTGTAGAATAACGTACAGTAGTATGTGCATAGGCCTTTAAGCATCCATTGCTGGGTGATGATACTTTATGTGGATATTTGAGAGTTTACTTCTGTTACTTCAAGTGAGCTGACTGATTTGGGACTATAATGAGTGCTGCTGCTGCTGAAGGGAAATTTGTGTGTTTAGGTGCGTCTGGCCAACTCTGATGTTTTCAAGTCTCAGTTCCCCACTTCTGGTAACTATTTTAAACTCAGCGCTGTACGTTTTGTTTTCTAGGAAACGTTCCAATTTACTCTCTTTAAATGGGCAGAAGAGCTGGATTCTCTAGCACGAATTCAAGATCTATTTAACTGTTATGAACAGGCACTTGAGCTGTATCCAAATGATGAAGTGATATGTAACAGTATGGGAGAACATCTTTTCAGGTTTGTAATAGTCTATACTCAGTTTTTATGAGGTTTGTTTTTTAGTATTGTATGTTAAGAAAGAATAGTCAGTTGAACATAGTACGTAAGATTGCATTTATTTCTTTTAAGCATAGTTAATAATGCGGGCAGTTGAATGCTGTGTGCTTATCAGCTTAAAAAGCTGATTAGTCAGTGCTAAAATGTGTTGATACAGCAAAAATTAAATTGTGTTTAAAAGAGCACTGCTGCTGAAGTAAAAGCTTAAAGTAAAAACACTGCATTTAAGTATTTTTAAACCCATTTATTAAATAATTGCTAAACAAAAACAAGACTGTAACTGTTCAAATTCATCATGTTAAGTGTGGTTGTCATTAATGTAGGATTTCTGAAGTTCATCTTTGTTTTTTTTTCCCTTCTGAGATCTCTGAACACTATTGCTTTTGCATACTGTCTTTAAATTCTGGCCTTCTTGACATTATGTAGGACAGACCTTTCAAATGAGGAAGCTAGTCATGTGCTCCATAGGACTGATTATTTTTTTTTTAAACAGTTCAAGCTTCTGCAATTATTTAATACCAAAAAATCAATATTTCATCACTTTCCCCAAAACTTGCAACATGTGGTGCTTGCAATTCCTCTGAATTTTTAAGTCTTCCAAGACTGGACTTTAAAACATCAGTCACGGATCTGAGCAGTTTTGGTTAGGAGTGCCTTCTGTCTGTTTGATGTGCTTGCTTTAAGGAACACCCATCTTGCATTGCAAGGAAGTTGTACCCTGCAATCTATTCCATAGCTTTTATTTTTCAGTGCAGTCTGCTTTGACCATCTGGTATAGCATAGAAGTTTGCTTCTCAGTTTGGTTTCAAAATTGGCTCTTAATGGAAGCACTGGCAACTCAAATTTTGATTGTTCTGTAGTATATTCAACTTAAATATAGTGAGATAAACTTAGATTTTGTAGCACTCCCTTGCAGCTTGAAAAATCTGTGAGACTGCAGGTTCGTTACCATCATGCAATTACAGCAAGTTCTTGTAAAACCTATTCTAGTTTATAAAAGGGTGCCATAGCAAATGAAGGCTGTACACACACGGTGGCATTTTACTGCCTTTGCATTTTTAAGTGATTTGATGTAGAGTTCTAAGTAAAGTATATATTTTTTTTATAAGCTAGTGTCAATATTTTTATAGAGAATCTTTCTAACGTAAAATATTTGTTAACTTTTGTCTGATGTGACTAGGGATTTACAGATATTTACTGCTAATTGGCATCTGAATGTATGTTTTCTATTTCTTTGTTGTTTTTACCATTAGAATGGGCTTTAGAGATGAAGCAGCTGGATATTTTCACAAAGCAGTGAAGCTTAACCCAGATTTTGCTGATGCAAAGGAGAATTTCTACCGTGTTGCAAACTGGCTTGTGGAACGTTGGCACTTCATCATGCTTAATGATGCCAAGAGGAATCTTACTTATCTAAAAGCAATAGAGAATGCTGTCTGCTCAGGGTGCAAGTCTGTCCTTGATATTGGAACAGGAACAGGAATACTAAGGTGCGTCGTAAGCATATGTTTAACATTTAATTATTAGAAGCATTTGTTGTCTAACAAAATGTTAGTACTACTTAAAAAATTATTTTACATTTGTGCCTTGTTGAGGCAAAACATAAGAAAGGAAACTAAGTTTTCTGCAGTTGATGAGTCCTGAGGTTAGTGCCCAATTCCAGTTGTGTTAGTGGGAGCAATTTTCTTTGTATTGCAGGTTTTCTTTTGTGCTAAGAACTACTGTATAGATAGGAGAATTCATATTGGTTTTGGAGTCGTAATGTCAAATATTCTGTCCTAAGCTATTGTATAGTATTTAATAATCACTTCATTTATGTGAAAAAGTTAGTGAATGAAAATGCTGTAAAGAATGGATTTAGTATAGGTGGGGAATCTCCTGCTATCCATGTTGGTCATAGCATGTCAGTGGGATGTCAGTTTGTGTGGCATTAGTATTCATGCAAGGAAGTTAATGAAAATTATTTTATTCAATGGCAAATTTTAGGCAGTTTCTTAGAAATAAAAAGCAGATGCATAAACAGAACTTCAAAAGACTCAGTATAGTGTTATGATGTGGAATACCAATAACCAAAAAATCATAGAACTATGACACATACGTTACCTAAAATTGTATAAATAGGAGGGAGAAAGCTCTGATTCTTGTATTTCAGTATGTTTGCAAAGAAGGCAGGAGCATCTTCTGTCTTTGCCTGTGAATTGTCAAAAACCATGTATGAACTTGCCTGTGATGTGGTGGCAGCAAATAACATGGACAGAGAAATCAAGCTTCTACATTTGAAGTCACTTGATATAGAAATTCCAAAGCACATACCGGAAAGGTGAGTTGTTGTATTCTATTGTCATAACACTTTAATTTTTCTTCTAATTTTAAAATGTGCTGTGACCTAAGCAGAAAATACAGTAAGTGTGGTTAATTACCACAGGGAAAGTTGAGAAGGTTTTAAGTTATTATGGAGCAATGCAGAAATTGTTTTTGAGGTTATGTTAAGTTCTATGGTAACTCAGTGATGTTACAAATCAAGTGTTGTAGTTCTTGGGTGGTATCTTAGAGACATGTGCAATTATGTTGCATCAACAGGAAAGAAGTACTAAGGTTGCTACACTGTGAATGTGCATATGTAACAACTTGGGGCTCATTTCTGCAGCTGGTGAATAGGATGGAGGCACGTAAAAGGACCTCCAAAAGAAGACTGGATCTGGGATATATAACACCCCTGCGACTCCATGTGATGTTTTGTGTTTGGCCAGAGAGATTAGAAATGTGGTTTGTCCACCTCTTACCAAGAAGAGACTAGAAGCTTCCTCTTCCCTCTTGTCACATCAGAACTTGATACTGTTTTCGGACTGGAGAGGGAAGTGCCACATGCTGTGTGCAGGTCCCTCCCATTTTCTTTCTGCCGTGGATCCAAAGGGCAACGAGAGTAGCGATAAATGCTGGAATAGAATTCAGTGGAAGAGTGTTGTAACTTTTCTTGCGAGAATAGATTTTGGTGTTGAGCATTACTTTTGATGTACTCATGTATACCTATATGTATTTGCCCTCTGTAGCAGAGATGCATGTGTTTTGGAAAAGTAAGTAGCTTATATTTTTAGTATTAAGTAATGGCTTTTAAAGCAAAATAAGAGCCACTGAGGCAAGTCAGCAACTGGGAATTCCTTCTAGCAAATAAAAATTGGATCCATTATTATAGTTTTCACTATGTGCAATTCAAACTTTTTAGGCTACCTTAGTCTTTTTTGCTCTGTATCCTTTTCAAAAGGGGCTCTTCAGGAATATTTTTAGCAGGAATAGATCTAAGGGGATGGTAGTTTGTTTGAGCTGTACTAACTGACCATGTGCATTCTCTCAGTGTCTGTGCTGAGTTATTGGGTTTCACTTGTCAGGAATAAATTGTTACTGTTCTGGAGACTCTAGTCTTCTGCCGTATACTTCTTAGTTTAAGAAGTTAAAAGGATTTAGGATTTCAGGATCCATTTGTCTACTTAGTAATTTTATTGTGCTTTGGTTAAAAAGGAATATTGAAAAAAACTAACGCGTGGACACTTGCATGAGATACAGACAAAATACATGCAGTATTGTCAGCTGTGTCTCAGGCTAAAATAACTTCCTATTTGGGTTAGATTCTTTCCCCACAATGTATCTTTAGATACTGACCAATAAAATTTATGGTAAATTCTTGCTCAGTGTTGCATTTTCTCTTATATAATAATTTGTTAGAAGAATTTAGTTGCCTATCAGTATTGAAACTTTAGAACGTTGGTAGAAGTTGTGCTCTGATCTCATGTTGGAACAGGCTTTAGTTAGTATTTTTCTTTAAAAGAATAACTTAACAGATAAGCCTGATATGAATTACATTTCATGCTGTCTTTTTTTTCCATTATGTAGAGTTTCCTTAGTTGTCACAGAAACCGTTGATGCTGGTTTATTTGGTGAAGGGATTGTGGAGAGCTTGATACATGCTTGGGAACATCTACTTTTACAGCCAAAGGTAAGTGATGTAGGTAAGTGTAAATGTGATTTCTGTTTGTGTTATTTTTATACAAGTACATTTTCTGTGATCTGCCTTGATTCCAAATAATAAAGATTAAAAACAAGTCTTAACTGGCAGAAAATATATTTTGTCTAACTGGAACTGATGACCTCTGGTGTTAAGTACAGGAATTATGCCTATGGAAGAGGTCCTCAGATGTTTCATGAAACATAGTGGGATGCAATTTAAAGCATAGACTTAGAATTACGGAAGTAGTAAACTGAAAAAGTAAAACTGATGTGCAGCTATATTGAAATATGCTGTCAGGAAAAAGTTTGATCTGCAGGAAAGACAATGACTTGGAGGTTTCTCCTAGTTACTGTGAACTTTGTAATCCTGGCTTAAAGTAGGCTTTGAAGTAATTATAGGAGTAGGTCTAAGTGAACGTTCCTATTAATGTTACAGCCAAAAAATCAAGATGTCAATGCTAAAGACTACGGGCAAGTTATTCCTGCAAGAGCAACAGTATTTGGAATGGCAGTGGAATGCAAAGAGATACGTAGACATCACAGGTGTGTTTAAACTCTAGCATGGTTTGGACACACATTTGTTACTTGGGAGAAGACTTTGACTTATTAATTAAAAGTTTTCATTTATTGTTCTCTTTACTTTTTTAAATGACTGTCTCACTAAGCAGATTACTGCTCCAACCCTTTCCACCCCTTTCTCAAGATGCTTTTTTTCTTTTTCCTTCTTCTAAAGCATTTCATTAGGAAATCTGGATTTTCAGTAATGTTGAAATAAATACTATTAGTGCATATTAAAGATGTGCGGTTCCTTAATAGTAAAATTACTTCCCAATTTCTGTATTGGAGATTCTTGGATTAACAGTTGCCCTTTATCCTCATTTTACCTTCTTTATAATCTGCTTCGTACCTCACCGTTAGATCCTACCCCTTTCAGATGTGGACAGGATTTTGTAAAGCCTCAATGTAAATAATCCCACTTTGCATTATCCTTCTCAATATGTGCCTTACCTAATTTTGAGCTAACAGACTCTCAGGTTCCTTTGTTGATACCAGTTGTGACTGTATCAGTTATTTTCATAGTCGCTTTCATTTTTGTCTTCTAAAACAATATCACTGTATGGAGACTGTCCCTCTAAGAGGTTTAATCTTAATTTGTTTAGTATTAATCTTGTTGCAGATTAAAGAAAACACTGATTTATACAGATACTTCCACATACTGGAACAGAAAAATACCTGTGCCATATAGAGATTGACTTCTCTAATGTGTAAGCCCTGAAGAGTAGTCAGAAAGAGACAGAAGTTCTCATAGTAATTGGTCACAGAAGAACTTTCCCTTAGGAATAACTCTTTAGGAGGAGTAATCATTGTCTTGAAAGGTGGCAATGAATATTTCTTAAAAATTTTAAACAGGATGAAACTCAGATTGTCTAATTAACAGTCCATTCTAATAATATAGTTTAAGGTCAAGTAATTAGCAGGGTTGAAAGAGTTTCCACCAGTTAATCATACGCTAAGAAAAAAGTCACTTGTAAGTTTTCTGTTTTCTACCTTGAGATCTTTTTTTTTCCTCTAATGGGCATAGTTGTTGGAAGTTAATACTCCTAACAAGGGCTATAGCTTTTTGTAAAGCCTTGTCTGTTCTCAAGTTTGAGTTGTCCACGTCTCTTGGGATTCTTGTGACATACATCTCTGTGTTTCCCTGGGTGTTTTCATGACCTACATCAAAACTGTTTTTTAAATGTTCTTTTTGAGAAACATGCTTGAAGATGCTTGGAATAGCAGTGTGAAAATATCTTTTTCCTCATGCTTTTCATATTATTTAGTGCCGGGTTTTTTGTTTTGTTGATGTACAATTCATACAGCTTTTCAGCTTTTCCTCACTTCTTTGCCCAAATGGTTTTAAGTAGATGAATGGCCCAGAAGTCTGTAAATACTTGAGGTTTTTCTTTTTTTTTTCTCCTGAAGTACACTTAAGAGTGTATTTCATCTAGCAGCAGACACTGGCCTTTATCTGGTAGGGAATCAGCTTTCATTCTTAAGTGTTTATAGTCTTGCATCTGTGTCTGATGCTGATTGCTTGCTTTGTATTCCATTGATCAGCAATTCTATCATTCAGTGATTATTATTTTTTTTCTTTTATTTAAGTTAGGCTGTATTTCTTGTGCTCTGATATTTTTTGGGGGGTGGGGGGGGAAGAAGGGTTTGTTTGTTTTTTTGCAATTTCTCCTAGGATGTACTGAAATGCTGGATAAACAGTACCCATTTTCTTGTAATTCTATTTCTGGTGCCTTTAAGTCAAACTAACAAAAAGTTTCCCACTGGTTTACCTCTCTCTGTAGCTTTATTACTTAATGTTCTAATGGTAATTTCGATATTAAGTGTAGCAGATGTACTTAATACATCTAAGTGTATGTCTATATCCATTGCTTATTTCCCAGAATCACTCTAGGGCCTAACAATGGTTTTGCTTATTTTTTTCCAATAAGCTTTCATTTTCTCTTGAAATTGTTGCTCTATCTTTAAAGCAGTTATTTCAAATCTATGTGAAATACACTTACTTCAGAAGAACAGATGAATTGACATATTTGTGAGAAGACGGACATTCTGTTAAAGATATATTTTGTTTGCCATAAAACCTTTAAGAGTTTACTACATACTGTTTCTCAGTTTGAGCTAGATAACTTTAAAGGGTCATATCACGTGACAGAGAAGCAGTATTCTAGGAGAACACAGGGACTTGTAATTCTTTTGCTTTGCATTTGAAACGCTTAGCTAGTCTTGGAAGGATTATGAAGTTTCATTTTTCTTCCTCTTCCTCTCCCTCCAGAGTGGGAGCACAAGAAGTTGCTGGTGTACACTTGTCACATTCTGTGAAGTTCTTTAGTCCAACGTATGCTTTTGCTGGTTCAGAGGAAACTGTTGAACCTTACACCACTGAAAAGCTCAGTCGAATTCCTGGAGGTTATGTACCTTTGACAGAACCCTTTCAAATAATGACAGTGGATTTCAACAATCTGCAGGTAAATATACGTACTTTTTTTTTTCTTTATGTCCTTTAGAACTAATCTGTATATAAACGAGGCCCACATCTTGTTTGCCACGTTCAATTGCGCAATAGTTTGTGCGTGCAAGGTTGGCAGTGCTGCCTTTAATCCTGTACTGGTTTTCATACTTATCTGATTATGTAGTCATCTGATTCATCAGATGACAGTCCTTGGGTTTTTGAAGGTAAAAGTTTTTATTTGTTTTGTGTTGTTTAGTTCCCCAAACTCGCTCACCATAGGACCAAACAACTGCTAGCATCAGTACAGGAAATGGAGGAAGAATGCGGTAGACCCATCTTCAATTGGTTATGCATCAAGGAGCTAAGTTATTTCCTCTGAAGTTACAGGGAGTCTTCAGAGAAGTTGTGGAGATAAGAGTGAGGGTGTGTTTTACAATTGGCATAAAGGATATGTAAGTGTTCGGGGTTGTGTAAAAGAGAAGAGAGTTAAAATACCGTATCCTATTCAACCATTTTGATTCCACCCTTCAGCTCCTATGATATCTGTTGTTCAGCATTCTAAAATACGGTTTGGGATTATTTTGTGCATTTTGCACAGAATGTATTTGTATGCATATATCAAATAGGCCTGAGCTGTAAGGCAAGAGCATCACTGCTCACAGCTGAGCATGCTAAAAAGATTCTGCATCTGATCTCTGGTGAGTTGTTTCTTGTTCATTGACCCGTGGTGAGGAGTTAACATTAAAGTGGTGAGTCAGAGCTTAAAATAGATTCTGTTATGTAAATGAAATTATTCTTGGCTACTGCTTGGCCAGGAATTGCAGTGTTCTGAATCAATAGCTTTTTCTAGTTGGCTTGTCTGACATCCTGAGGTTAAAAATGAAAAAAGACAAGGTTCTTTGGAACATTGCTGGGAGCGATTTCTGTGGCCTGATGTTGCTTCTCCTGCTAGCATAAGTAAGGAACTGCTACAACTGAAAGATGTCTGCTCCTGAGTGTCTGACACTGACAGACATGTGAAGATTATCTTAAGAGTGAAGATCTCTTCCTTTTGAAGCTTTGTGTTAAGTACTCTGGTCATGAAAGGTGGCGATATGGTGAGTAGAATTGGAGGGAAGAAACACAGTTAGCTAATTTGAAATAGTTAGTTGCAATTTACCGTTACTTGTATTATAGGGCTAGCATGCCCTTTTCAAAGTAAAGATCAGAAAAGTAATTATAGCCAGTCAAAATAATAATAATAAAAAAAGGCCTCTGACTTCTGCTGATTACTTTTACTGCTGTTATTAGCAGCAGCAGTGCAGTTCCTCCCCAGCAGGGGAATGGGATGTGGCTGTAATTGCAGGCTGTAGACACTTGTACCTACCCAGGTAACTACCTGTGTGCATGTTTGCTGGCAGCACATTGGTGTCACTGGAAGTGGAAGTAACTGTTTACCTTCACAACTGGTAATTACAGCTGATTACTCCTTTCAGGCCCTGAAGGAACTGAGCTATTGCCTACAAAGCTTTTTTTTTCATTATGAACTTTATTAACATCCTGGAATTTTGACACATGCGTTGTTCAGCTCAAAGGTAGATCAGCTTCTGGAGAACACAGGGCAAGAATAAAACAGGAGAAGAAAAAATGCAGCTTGAGAGAGCTAGTTATGTTCCTGGCATGGAGCTTTCTTTTGCCTTCTGCATTTTGTTAAGATTGAAATTTAGAGGGAACAATTGCTGACGTGAGCTCTTCTGTAAACCACTGAATTTTTAGGCAAGGCTGTTACTAATACGATGATTGTATCTAAGATAACCTTGGTCCCTTGTGATTGATATCCTCTTACTGGCTTATGCCAGAGCTGTATAAAGACATTAGAGCTGTGCGTTTTGTGTTTATGAATGTTACTGCAGAAGGTAATTACTGGGGGAAGTGTATGTGAAAGATGACTCCATTCCTATTACCTATTGAAGACAATTTAGCAAATACTCGGTAGTAAAATTTTACACAAAGTCCATAGTGTAGGTTGCAGAGAACATAACCTCAAAGGTGTTTGATTTGGTGTTTTTGTAATGATTGTGCTGAACTTTGGCTGTAGTGAACTCAGTGCTTTCATGCAGTATTTCTAGAGCTGATTAAATTTGAACACAGGTTTTAACAAGCGTGTGTCTGAGTGTTGGCTTGAGTTTGATACAAAAGACTAACTTTTCATAAGGCATGCTTTGCCAGTTGAACTACTTTGTTGCAGTTTCTAGTTTTTAAATACCTACTTTGAGAGGTGGTTGTGTGCGTAATTGTTCTTTAATGAGGAAGGAGAGCCCTATGCTGATGAGTGCTACTGCTGATAGTTGGCACTGTAGCAGTTTGCTAACTCCTGGTTTCTGTCAGGTGCCCTCATGGATTGGTACAGCAGTGTGAGTGACTTGATAGTGACTACTGTGAAACCATTTTTTATGTATGGAAACGAGCTTTCTCACACTTTTTTCTCTTTCCACACTGCTCAGGAGCTGAAGAGCCTTGCACACAGAAAGTCCTGGAAGCTTAGCCAGCCAGTCACTGAAGGAGGAATGCTAGATGCTATTGTGGTATGGTTTGTACTGCAGCTTGATGATGAGCACACTCTATCAACAAGTCCCAGTGAAGAAACTTGCTGGGAGCAGGCAGTCTATCCTGTGCAAGGCCTCTCTGGTGAGTACTGTAGATTTTCTTGGTGCACTACATAAACTGACTAGCTCAAGAACAAAATGAAACCAAGTTAATCTCAGAGACTAAGAAATGGCAGTAATTGGATTAGGAGAAGTCCAATGACGTGTAGCTGTGAAGTGGCTCCTGATCAAGTTTATGGACTGTATTGGAAGTTGGTGCAGCAAGTCTTGTTTGTTGTACTCTGCTGTGAGACAGATAAGAAACCTCCTTAAGGTCTGGGAGAACAAATATTTTGAAAACAGTTTTTTTTCTATACTGAATCAAATACTTTTTGGAGTACTTCCAAAAGGTGAGGCCACTGGTGCTATGTAATCAGGATGTGACATTTGAAAGGGAGGTGAAGTAGTAGTTGCTAACTGTTGCTGCCATAGGAACAAAACTAAAAGTTCTCACCTACCCCCTTGCATCCCTTTTGGATTACAACTTCATTGACCACAGCTGTTCCTCAGTGCCAGTGTCATTTGCAGCAGCCTCTACTCTGTTCACCTATTTCCTATTCACTCACCTGTTTAGATAGACAGTAGGGGCAGCTGTGCCATAGACCAGTTTAATTTAAAGCATAGGGCAGAGGGGAGACACTTAGCATACACTGCCACTGAAAGAAGTGTTTGTCAAACTATAGCCATCTTGTTTAGAATTTTTGGTCTCTATTGGTAGATGCAGGCCAACTTCAAGTGTGTTTGTTTTAGATAAAACTCTGACCTTTTCTAAACTGTAGCTATTGTTTTCCATATAAATACAGTTTCAGCTTTGTTGACAGGAAGTATTAAAATGTAAATATTAAATATGTAACATTTTAACTTCAAAGCAATTTCTTTGTACATTTTTGTTCAGCTCTGCTGTTAACAGGACACTTAGAGAAGTATGTATTTATTTTAAGCTTGTTTTGAGATTAAAAGGATTTGCCTAGTGTAGGACAGATTAAGGCATATTTGAGCATGGTAGCAGATTTCAGTAGTGGGCTACAGAGCTTAGTACTGAAAATTGGAGGAGCCTCCTCTTGAAGGGGCTGTTTTGGTTCCAGCCTATAATGTGTTGTGTACCCAGGCCTGTTCTGTTCTGTCTTGTTCTCTCCTGTGGATTAAGAAACATGACTAGAACGAATCTTTCATACGCAGTGAAAAAAAAACCAAACTAATGAAGCAGTGAGATAATATTTGCTTTTTTTGTTCTTGTAGAGCTGCAGTGATAGTATTTGCTGTAATTGACATGATTTTGTGCTGTTTATTCCAAGATTATTCTGTGAAGGCTGGAGATACTGTGATGATGGAAGTTTGCTGCCATGACTGCTACCTCAAGATGCAGAAGATTTCTTTTTTAACTTCAGAGTGTGGGATGGACTGCAGTGACAGAGATGACACACTGAGTTTGGGCAATGAGGCTGAATTATGTAATGCTCTGGCTAGTCTTCAGACAACTAGCAAACAGGATGGCAAAGGTCAAGTATGTGTGTTGGAATCCACAGAAATAGCCCTGCTGAACAATGTACCGTACCACGAATGCTTCAGAGCTGCCATGGGCAAGGTTCTGTCATCATTAAATCCAAGTAAGGACTTGGAGTCCATGGATATTGACAGATGTGGCAGTGGGGTGAACCTCCAAGAAAGCCAGAACAAGAGCTCTTTAGATGTGGTTCCTGATCCTTTGTACGTACTAGATGTATCTGAAGGCTTCTCCATCCTACCAATTATAGCTGGCAAACTTGGGCCAGTTAAAGCCTACAGCTCTATTGAGAAAGAACAGCATCAGGCAGTCCTTAATGTAATTTCAGAAGCTAATAATTTCCCTAAGGAAACTGTAGAATTTTGGCTCAGCCATTTAGAAGATGAAAATGTGGTGCTACAGAGACCCAAATCCGATAAATTATGGAGTATTATTATTTTGGATGTTATAGAGACATCTGGTTTAATCCAGCAGGAGGTGATGGAAAAGGCTGCAATATCCAGGTACAGTACAAATGGACAAAAGGAATTTGGGGAATCCATAATTATCTGAAAATTTTTAAAAGCATTCTTTCTAGTGACAGAACTGATGTTGCTTTTATAGAGTGTGAAAAAGGTGGTTTTCTGAACAGGTTGAACTTGCACTTCAGGAGTAAATTTCTCAGAGCGTCTGGAATGTCTGACATGAAGCGTCAAGATCTCATTTTCATAGGCTGCTTTATTTTTTGCATGCAATAATACAAATGGAAGATCTTGCTTTTTGGTTTGCTGGGTAGTCCTAGAATAGCCACTATCTTGCTAATAACTGAGGTAGCAAAGTTTTTTTTTTTTTTAAAAAAGAAAAGCTCCATCAAGTGTACATCGAGCTATTGTTGGCATAAAGTGGTATTGCTAAGATACAGATACATAGGATTAGAACAGCCAGAGAAGCACCAAAAGAGCTATTAGATATTGGTGCTTTAAGTAAGTCCTGCTACCTTCATTTTGAAATATCATTGTTTCCAATACTGACACTGAGAAAATATTGCTTAGTACAGTGTTACTGGAGAAATTCTGTTTTCTGTATAATACAGCTGTCTGGTCAGATGGATCAAACTCGAATGCTTTTGAGCACTTGACTTCAGAGGAGGAACAAGTGTGCATTTATTTATGTATTAAATGTAGGTGTTTTTTCCTTACTGTTGAATGATAAGCTTTAGAGGTGAAATCTCTTTCATTTTACAGATGTTTACTTCAGAGTGGAGGAAAGATATTTCCACAGTATGTGTTGGTATATGGGATGCTTGTAGAATCACAGTCTTTGTTACTGGAGAGTGCTGTTCAAGGAACAGAACCAACTCTTGGGTTTAATATAGCTCCTTTTATCAACCAGTTCAAGGTATGAAGTTGTTGGATGTCTTCCAAGTACAGTTCCAAAGCATGCAGCTGTTTAATTGTTTAGCTTCAGTATAAAATGGTAGAAAACTAAAAAGCTGAAACTTCATAATGTTTTGATATCGTGAGAGACTTATGTGATCAGGAAGGAGCTTTGAGATGAAGCTAAACAAAAAGCTTTTTTTCTTTTTCCTGAAACTAGAGTGAGTGAGAATTTGAGTTATGAGAGATGTAATGGGAATGTACAGAAGAATGACTGTGCTCCTAGTAGTTCTATCTCTGTCATCACCTTGTATCTTAACAATGACATTTCAGAAAGGGTTAAAATGGTGCATTTAGGATTTTGGCTGTTTCTTACAGACGTTACCATAATTCTTAGAAATGTTTGCATTAGAATTATCATAAACTTATCACTTGAATAATTTGATGTCTGAAGTTATGGTCTGTACTCGTAGGTACCTGTTCGTGTTTATTTGGATCTCTCTACATTACCATGTGTACCTTTGAGTAAGCCAGCAGAACTATTAAGGCTAGACCTCATGAATCCTCTGTTAAACAGTGCAAGCAGAGAGGTGAAGGTGAGTTGTGTGTACGTGTGTATATAATTACATACAATTTTAAGTGCACTTAATTGGACAGTTCTAGAGAATAACACTTACTGTTCACCTGGGCTGAAAATTTCAATGCAGAATTTACTTCTCTGCAAATGTCTCTGATTGCAATGGTCAAACTAATATTTTAAATATTTTCTAGGTACAGATTTGTAAGTCTGGCCAAGTCACTGCAATTCCCTTCTGGTATCACATACATCTAGATGAAGAGCATAGTTTGAATACATCTGATGAGTTCTCGCACTGGAAACAAGCTGCAGTTGTTCTTGATGAGCCACTCCAGGTTCAGGTCGGAGATGAACTTGTGCTTGATGTTCAGCACCATAAAAGCAATATTAGCATTACAGTTAAACAGTGAAGAACATCCAGTGTAAACTATACATGCACCAACTGTTCGTAACATCACTGATACTAATTTATATTAAAGTCTAATTTTTATGTTCAAAAAGGTTCATAATTTTTATGATCAAAAAGGCTATTTTAGTGTTTTAAGAGTTGGTAGACCGACCTGTCCGTTCAATGGACAGACTAAAATGGGCACTGCAAGGGTATCTTACCATGCGGTTTTGGGAGGTATTGCTGGGGCTGCATCTAAAAATCTGAGGGCTAGCTACTGCAGCAACAGTAGAAGTGGGACAGATTGCTATCAGTGCCCCATCATCTGTAGTGAAAGAAAGGCATTTTAGATGCTTTATGTCAGAAGCAAACAGCTGTGACTGTGTAGTCCTTGTTTCACAAACTTTGGTTCTGCTTCTTGGTAGTCAAAGCATCCTACATAAGTAAATGGAGATGTTATCCTTGCAAAAAGGACTGTAATAGCATTCCAGCTGTAGCATCACGTGGTAATGTTGCATGTAATTATAAAAGGTCATAAATGAGTGTTGTAAACTAAGTCAAGCTATGTAGTACAAAGTAAAGCCAGTAAGCCCTTTAGAGTTTCTTAGAGAGTCGTATTTCTGGTAATATAAACTTTTTCCCTCTTAAGAAAGCTGATACAAGTTATTACAGCAGCCACTACAAGCATTTGTATAGTATTCTTCCCGTGTTACATTGCAGCTTTAACAGCATTTCTTAATCTTCTGTTCAGATGAAAGACTAACAAGCAATTTCTCAGCACTGATTCTATCCCTGTAGCTACACAGGGAAGAGAGGGACAAGGTATTTCTGTAGCTAAGCACTAAGCTTCTTTTTAATATTGTTGCTGTCCATTCCATGTGCAGCACACTTCTGCAGTGCATCCTTAACAAAAGCCTGTAGAAGAGGCACTCACAAACAATTTTTCTAGTCTCATATGCAAAATCAGTGCGCGCTCTCCATTAAGTGAATGTTTTAGGCAGACTATCTGTGATCAACTTGAAGGACTGAGTAGTTCTGGTGGAGCCACAGGTGTCTCAGCCTGCAGCTCTTGGATTGCTGTAATAAAGCTCCTTCTAGAACAGGGGAGGACAGGTCTCCAGTTTATTTTGAAAACATAAGCGGTGATTAAGTTCTCTTAAAATTAACCAGATACCATCTTATATCCAAAGGTTACAATGCATAAGAAAATCTAAGAGTAGGACAGAGGCTCTTCAGAGTTGTTTTTTCCCCCATTTTAACCTGTGCACATGCTAGAGCAATCAGGAAGTCCCTACCCAATGCAAGCTTTTACAAGTTATTTACTCTTCTTAAAACGTGGCTGTTAACAAAAAAAAAAGATTGAGTCAAGCATAAATAAGTCTGATGCCTGATAAGCTCCTGAAAGAATTCTTTGATTATACTCAAAACACTGGAAAAAATTACAAGCACTTCTACTGTTATGCACAAGATCTCTTCCTTCACAAAGAGAATAGTTGCCATCATCTGTCATTTACATATAATGACAGTAGCAATATATCACATGGGAAAAAAGCCAAACAGTTCAAATAAAATATTTAATTGCTTATTTACAACAAAGGCAATGATTTGGCAAAGTGGAAAGTACGATTTGCACTTCCCCCTACCTTCAGATAGAGCAAATACAGTCAGCTATAAAATACGCAGCCTAGTGAGTAAGGCGCAGTATTTACATCACACTAGTACTGCAAAATAAGCACTTAAGATGAGTCCCACTGTGACAGACAGAAGTTAAACATTTATCCAGTAAATGCTGGAAAAAAAAAAATCATGTGTCACTTAGTGTTCTCAATTTGTCAGATTGCAAACATGCAATAGTAATAAAAACCCAGAAATGGGATTTTTAAAAAAGCAGCTGCTTTTGTCAGTTTTGCAAACTGTTTTGATACAAATTTACTCTTTCTTGGTCTAAAATATAATGCTTGAGTAACTCCAGTATTAGACTAGCTACTTAATTTTACCTTAGCAAAGGTCTCTTCTCTGGGACACACACAAACGAATTATTACATTTGAACAGACTATACTAGAAGCATAATACAATAATCACAGATACAAATTTATAAATACAAACTACCACAGACACCTTGTTAAAGCAGGATATGTTAACAGCTTAAAAATTTAGGTGTTAAAGAATTTATTGCAGTCAAAACCAAAGGAGTCAGTTTTGTTTTCTGTGTGAATTTTGACATCCTTTATTCCCCTCTCCTTACTATTATTCTAGAAGGATAGGAAAAAAAAACCATCAAATGTGAAGGTATTAATCCAAAGCTTACCTTCCTGGCTGTATACTCTGAATGCAAAAGACTAATAAATTAAGAGGTACAAGAACAACAGTTATGCCAACTGTATGGTCTGTGCCTCATCTCACCATAAAATTCCAATAGGGAATGCTTTTTCTTTTTTTAACTAGACTTTTTTTTTTTTTAACTGATGCTTTGCACTGAAGGGATTTGACTTAACTATGCTGGCAAAGGAGGAAGATGGCATGTGCACAGAAGTTACATTTCATCCACACACCATTCAATCCTTGGGGTATGTAGTTAATATCATCAATAAGGAAACCAAAACCAACATAAAGAGTTTTTTTTTCACTGCCCTCCTTAAATTACATTCTCAAAATTAACACTTCCCACTGCTAGTAGTACTTACATTTCATGTTTTCAAGAGCACAGCGTTTTTTCAAGTGTTTCTTTTGTATTAATAGAAAGAAGAATAGTTTTACCATACTTTTGTATGACAGATGTATAAATGTTTAGTAGTTCAAGGATGTGATTCTTGAATTTCTGCAGAAACTTTTACAGTGTGCGTTTTATATTCATAGGGTACTCAGGTACTCATAACCGTTACATACTCAGAACATTAAGATGTCAGTTACAGCCATATCCTCTTCCTGCCTGTACAGTAGCTACTCCATGCTATTCAACTTCCAGGGCAAACAGTATATGCTAACCGAACGTATGTGGCAAGAATATAACAGGCTCCTTGACCCATTCAAAAAAAGGTGAGTCTAACTTCTATCCAAAGCTTTCTCTGATGAATTGTGCATTAGTTCAGGCGATTCTGCAGTGTCTCGGGTAGCAGAAGTGTTATAAATACCATCAACTGCAGGGACTGTTGTTGGTGTTGTGAGAGGTGTCACAGTGTGTCCAAACCCCTGGTAATGACCCATAGGTGATGATGGCATTGAAGAAGCATCAGAAATTGGGTCTTGAGTAGAGGAGGATAGTAAACTTGTATGCTCGTTTTGCTCATGATCCTCAGCAAAAAACATTTTTCTTGGCTGGCCCAGAACTGTCCTTCCTAGAGTTATGTCAAACAAAAATAACACTTTAATGCTTAAAGCAATACATCTAGGTCTTCAAACGAACAGACACTAGCCTAGGCAAGTTAGAATTAGAAGTCTAGTCTTCAATTTAGAACAGTTCTATGTGGGTATTGTTATCTTCAGTTAATGAAAGGATCCCTTTCCAGTAAGGGAAAGAAGGGGGCAGAAGTAAAAGACATTCCTCTCTATTCTAGCTAAACACCTGAAATTTCCCCTCAGATCTATCTGAAAGAAAAATTCAGAACTAGACTGTTAACTCACAGGATTACTGGGACATTGTAGTGCAAGATACCCAATGAAATGCTCTAAGGATACAGCTGCCCCTAATTTGGTATGGGATGTTCTCAAGGAACTGTAGAGATGGCTAACAGTACAAAATGAAGCTGGAAATACAAGGCTGTTTTACAGATAATGCAGATATGTCTGTTACTTACCAACATTTCGAACTTGTTCTGATATATCTGCCCTTATATCAGAAATATCCCACATTGCAAGAAAGGAATCGAAGCATGACCCTTCTTCAGCTTCTTGAACGTAAGGTTTATAGGAAAAACTGTAGTGATGTGCAATAGCAGCTAAAAACATTTCAACACAAATGATGAAATCCTGCAACAAGGAAAGAGGTATTAACTAAAACTTAATCACTCATAACTGGAGAAAAGAGTTCTTCATCGAATGACTGACAGTAATTGCACTGGGATGTTGGTATCAGCTACTCTTAAGCCAGAGATAGGACATTCTTGGCAAACATCAGAGTGAAATCCATTCGATTTAGATGCAGGAAACAGTCCTTGCTGAACAGCTTGTCTTGGTTGAAGTTGTTCCTTCCAACAGGGAAGTAGACAGGGAAGTGTTGAGCATAAAACTCACTTGGGGAGACTGGCTGAGACTTAGTCCAACGTACTATAAATTCAGTAGTAATTGAGCCTGTGCTAGGTAAGATACGATAATATTTGCTTGAAATCATAGGTCATCTTACATAGAGTGATTTCTCCTATAAAGTAATTGTCTCTGCTCCTACCTGTAGGCCTGTAGCCACAGCTTCCACGCTCTGCCATTCCCAGGTGTGTTTCTCAGAAATAACACCAACTTTCACCAGCAATGCAATAAGCACAGCTTGCCTATAAAAGTTATTAATTATTGTTATAATAGTGTTGTCTGCAAATCTCCAAATCTGGTAAGCAAGGCCTACTTTTAAGTATACTTGTGTATGTAGATAGTAAGAATCTTTTAAAAAAAAAACCTTGCTGCTTTTTAGATTTTAAATGAAGGAAAACGGAACAGGCTAATGTGAAAATAACAGAATTACCAAGATGGGGAAAAGACCTCCAAAATCATCCAGTCCAACCGTCCACCTACCACCAATATTTCCCACTAAACCACATCTGTCATCGCAACATCTAAACACATCTCTAGGTCAGTGACTCTACCACCTCCCTGGGCAGCCCATTCTAGTACCTGACTACTCCTTTAGAGAGGAAGTTTTTCCTAATGTCCAACCTGAATCTTCCCTGGCACAACCTGAAGCCATTCCCTCTAGTGCTATTGCTGCTTATGTGGGAGAAGAGGCCAACCCCCACGTAAGCACAGCCTCCTTTCAGGAAGCTCTAGAGAGTGATAACGTCTCCTCCCCTGAGCCTCCTCCAGTCTAAACAATCTCAGCTCCCTCAGCCACTCCTCATAAGGCCTATGCTCTGCATCTCTCACCAGTTTTATTGCCTTTTTCAATGTCTTTGTTCTAGTGAGGTGCT